GGTTTCTTTCCAGTGAGTTCTTTCATGTTTTCGAACAGAACTGGAACAACTGAAAGCTTTCCCACATTGTTTACATGCATAGGGTTTCTCTCCAGTGTGAGTCCGTTCATGACTTTGAAATGCACTACGAAAACCAAAGGCTTTCCCACACACCTTACATTTATATGGTCCATCTCCAGTGTGCAGTATCATGTGTCTTTGAATGCTTGTGAAAGCAATGAAAGTTTTCCCACATTCCTTACATTCATAGGGTTTCTCTCCAATGTGAGTTCTTTGATGTATACGAGCAGAACTGGAACAACTGAAAGCTTTCCCACATTCTTTACATTCATAGAGTTTCTCTCCACCATTAGTCCTTTCATGATATCGTAGAGAACTAGAACACCTGAAGGCTTTACCACACCGCTTACACTCATAAGGTTTCTCTCCAGTGTGTGTTCTTTTATGTGTTCGAAACGCACTGGGAAAACCAAAGACTTTCCCACACACCTCACATTTATAAGGGCCATCTCTAGTGTGTGTTATCATGTGTCTTCGAACACTTTTGGGACAAATGAATGCTTTCCCACATTCCTTACATTCATAGGGCTTCTCTCCAGTGTGAGTCCTTTCATGAATTTGAAATGCACTGGGAAAACCAAAGGCTTTCCCACACACCTTACATTTATAAGGGCCATCCCTAGTGTGTATCATCATATGTCTTTGAACACTTTTGAGAGAAATGAAGGTTTTCCCACATTCCTTACATTCATAGGGATTCCCTCCACTGTGAGTGCTTTCATGATATCGTAGAGATCTAGAACAACTGAAGGCTTTACCACACTGCTTACACTCATAGGGTTTCTCCCCAGTGTGTGTTCTTTTATGTCTTTGAAATGCACTGGGAAAACCAAAGGCTTTCCCACACACCATACATTTATATGGTCCATCTCCAGTATGCAGTATCATGTGTCTTTGAATGCTTCTAAGAGAAATGAAGGTTTTCCCACATTCTTTACATTCATAGGGTTTTTCTCCAGTTTGAGTTCTTTCATGTATTTGAACAGAACTGGAACAACTGAAAGCTTTACCATGTTCCTTACATTTATATAGATTCTCACCATATTCCTGACACTCATATGGTTTGTGTCCCGTGTGAACTGTGATGTGCCCATTAAGGGATAAAGGACACATGAAGATATCTCTGCACACACTGCTTTCAGTTGGTTTTACTCCAGGAGGC